AGTCCTTTGCCCAGTTTCCAGGCTTCAGGCAGATTCCAGACCCAGAACCCAGGGGGTAAAAGGGGGCCAGGTCCTCAGGAAGCAAACTGTAAGTCTGCACTGTGGGGTCGGTGCCAGGCCCTCCCCATGACCCTCTAACTGAACTTAGGGGAGGGGACGTGCCCGGGCATGTGAGGACTGCTGGACACAGGGTTCCAGTTGATGCTGGTAACCTGAGGCCCAAAGCATGACCGCAGCTCCCCAATTAGAGTGGGGGTCCCACAGATGCGATTCCAGCCGGGGCCTGATCCCTGACTTTGGGTCTGCACACCCAGCCAGCAGTCATTTCTCAAAGCCCAGAGTGGAAAAGTGGAGTGGACATACTTGATGGTTGGTGTCACGTCCTTGGCCACCGGCATGGACAAGTCCATTGGAAGTGTCTGTAACTGCCCCCGACCGAGATGGTGACGAGCAGTGTGCCCTCCTGGGTGAGTGACGACACATTTAAAGACCGAAGGGTGTTGGGGATGGCCCTGTGGCACCTGCGTTTGCCCCACCAGTCTGACCACGACAAAAGGCCAGGATGGGTCCAGGAGGACAGCGGACACAGCTAGAAGAGCAAGCGAGGCTGCGTTCTCCTCCATCCTGATCAGGAAGGAGAATCAAAAGCCGTGTACAATCACTTGCAGAGAACATGTGGTCCCTCCCCAGGTGACAGTAACTCTTCTGCCCAGGGTCCCCTGGACCAGCCTCACATCCCCAGAACAGCACAGCTGTCCCCCAAATCGACACGCCTGTGTGAATCAGACCAGATGGTGGAGAAGGGGCTTTCAGAGGACACGTGCACTCCAGGGAGAAATCTGGGGGTCCCGGGCACACGGGAGCCCCTCCCCAGAGACAGGGGGCTGCGCCAGCATGCCACCACGAAGCGCAGCAGCTGGGGGCTTCTGGGAGTCCTGCTCCAGTACCTCCTGGTACCACAGAAGGCCAGTGGCTGCACGGGGCCAAGCAGGGACGGCCCCAGGTCCCTGCTGCTACGTTTGAGCTGACTCCAAGGGGCTGGGGGCAACGTAGGCTTTGCAGCAAGTGTGGGTGGGAGAAGCCTCACAGGGGTCCCCAGGTCCAGGGCAGGGATGTGTGGTGTGTGGGAGAGCAGGTGTGGTTCTGGTCCTGAGAAAGAAGGCCTGCCTGGCTGCGGGACCATGGCCAGCTGCCCGGCCTGGCTTCCTCAGACCTGCCCTGTCGTGAGGTTGGGAGAGACATGAGCAAGGCCAGGGGTCAGTAGCACCCTGCACGCACAGGTGGTCCAGACCTGTGTGAGCTTCACCTGTGCGAGCCCCTCACACCTGTGGCCTCCCAGGGGTTCCTGTGACCAGCTGAGGAGGGGGAGGAGCTCCGTCGTGGTTCAGGGCTGGTCGGCACAGCGTGTGGGCCCAGGTGGACAGTGGCAGTGGCAGGGGGTGGCCCTCTCGGGTTGTAGGGCTTTGGGCAGTGGGCCCAGCTGGCCGGCCAGGGGGGTGGGAGGAGGGAAATGGCTGTTTCAGGGACAAGGAGTCCAGGGGGAGGTATACAGGGGACCATGGGGTGGGCACAGGGGCAGACGTTTTAAGCCCCACACGGACACCCATCACGCAGCAGGTAGACAGCAGCACTCGGCTGCGTGGCAGCGACTGGCCGGTCATGGGCCCAGGGTGGCACAGTGTGCAGACGGAATGGCCAAGATGAAGGGCCCTGCTCGTCGGTCCGGCGGGTGAGCCCGGGATAGCCCAGCCCCCGCAGCGACTCTCACAGGGACGGCCTTGGCTCATGGCGCCTGCAGCCCAAGGGACGGAGGCCGGGGCCTGAGGTCAGCCTCCCCCCACTGTGGGGGCAGGGGGCAGGGCCGTTCTCCGTGGGGGCGTCCTGGGCACTGGGGGGTTTGAGCAGCGCCAGGGGTCCCCCTCACCCAGTTGTGACAAGTGTCCTGGGCCACCTGTGGAGAACCACGGGTTTCTAGCGTGTTTGCGCCTGTGGCACGGGCCCCATGTACCGACGCGGCAGATGGAGCGACCCGCTCTCCTGCAGTCAGAGCAGGGCACAGTGGCCGTGACCATGGGGCTCTCCGGCACACTCCGGAAGCTTCTAGCTGGCAGGGCATGTATGGAAGGCCATCCTGCAGGAGGGAAGCCACCAGGACCGGGGCACGGTGCTGTGTCCCCAGAGAAGGACCCCAGGGTCCAGGAGCTGAGAGCCCCGGAAACGTGAGGTTCCTGGCCCTGCGGAGCCCCCGTCCGGTCCCCCAGGCCTCGTGGGCCAGGGCCGGTGGGGAGCAGAAGCCCAGCCAGCGGGAGAGGACTGCGGGAGAGGCAGGCTGCCCGGCTCGGGGCCGGGGAGGGCAGCATCTGCACCCCGTGATCCTTCGGAGCGGGTGGGGGTGGGGTTGGGGGCTGACTCGCAGGCCCCGTGAGCCCCTCCCTGGGCAGCATCCAGGGTGGGGAGAGGGAGCAGAAAGGCATGTTCCCTCTCTGGAACTGGGTCACTCCAAGGTCATCAGGTTTGGGGCTCCCTGTGGGGCCGCTGAGGCTGAGTCCCGCCCTGCTTCCTTGGTGCCCCCTCCTTGCAGAGTTTGGATCCCGGGAGCACGACACTCTTGTCAACGCTGGGGGCCGGGCGCCCCGGCCACATAGGGTCCTGATGTGGGACCCCAGCCCTCCTGGAGGCCGTGAAGCCCAGCACCCATGCGCCTCAGCGTGGCTGGGCTCCGGGTTCCAGGCTCCAGGCAGCCATGCTGCCGGGGCTGGTCCTGCAGCGCCACCTGCTGGCCGCGCCCCTCCACCAGGCCGGGCTGTGGCCGCTCCGCCTGGGGCCTGGACCCGCTGTCCCTCCACCAGGCCTGACCAGCGGCCCGCAGGGGAAGCTGCAGGGCCTGGGCAGGGGTCGCCGCCAGAGGCGGGGGATCCACAGAGTCACCTCCAAGCCCAGCAGAGCCAGAGCCCCAGGAGGGGCTCCGACATCTAAGTGCTCAGCACCCGGTCCCCACACCTTGGCATCCAGCACTGCAGTCCCCGGGACCCTGCCTGCACCCACAGCCCCACGCCAGGCCTGCTGGGGTCAGGCCCACCGTTCCTGCCCACATCGTACCCCAGGACGACCCCTACACAGACCGCGGGCCAGGCTGGGGACCCTCCTCCTCCTCTGTCTGCAGGTCCCGCTTTACAGGTGAGGACACTGAGGCAGGGGCGCTCCGCCGTTGGCTCCAGACCTACACGCCTTGGGGAAGGGGCCAGGCAGTTCTCTGAGAGGTGACCGCTGAGTGGGACCCCGGAGGAGGGACGGAGCCAGAGCCAGCCCCTGGGCGCCCCAGCAGGACAGCAGGACGAAGGCCCTGAGGAGGGACCACACTTGGTACGTTCCAGGAGCCAGCTCAGCCTGATGCTGCCATGCCCTGCTGGGGGGGCCCTGAGTTGGGGTTCCGAGCAGAATGAGATGGGGTTAATGGGGCACCTAGGCCCATGGCCACAGCTGCTGTCAGCACGGAGATGCTCACCCTGGCCGCCTTCCTTCCCCGGGCCCGCGGTGCCGTGGTGGCGGTCTGGGGTGGGGCCATGGTACAGCAGAAGGCAGGGTACAGACCCCATAAGGGACCCCACAGAACTCGGCAGGCCAACGTGGGGACCGCAGGAGAGCCAGCTGTGGGGCTGTTTCCTCATGTCCAAAACAGCAGGGCCTGACCCCTCCCCAACTGGCACATGCCTGCTATGCCCCCCGCCAGCCCCCTGCTCTCAGGCTTGCCCTCCCTCCCTCCGAGAACCCCCAGCCCAGTTCCCTGGAAACCCCCAGCTGCAGTGGCGGCCTCTCCTGCCGCCAGGCTCCCACTGTCCCATGGCCCAGACCCTGACGCCCCGTCTCCATAAGCAGACCATGTGTGTGGACTCCCCAGCAGGTCTGGCCTGGACGAGAGCAGCCCCCGACCTGTGCAGCAGCTGCCCTGTCTGGCCAACGTGACTTGTGTTTCCCCTAGGAATTCAGGGGCACTTGGCCTTGTCCCCCACCACAGAGACGGAGGCAAAGCCAGGGAGGCCAGCTGAGGCCCGCGGGGGCCCAGGGAGAAGCCAACACGAGACTGGGCCGGGGTGGGATCCACCTGCCAGCACGTGGTCCCCTGCCCAGCGAGGACCCGCACAGAGTCCTGCCTGTAGGAGTTCCCTTGCAGTGCCGCAGATGCAGCAAGGGGATGCGTGGGCGCTGAGGTCCTTGGTGCCAGGAGAGTGGGGCCAGGTGGCCGCCCCCAAGGTGACAGCTGCCTGGACGGGAGTGGAGGTGCGGGGTGCTCCAGGAGGCAGGTGCTCACTTGGGGTTAGCTGAGCCCGGGGGGCTGGCCACTCCCGCCGGTGAGAACACTCTCAGGGGCCTCAGAGGGGCCTCCGCATGAAGCCACAGCCTGCATTTTTCTCAACTTCATTCCTGGATGAGAAACTGGCCCCAGGGGCTTACAATGGCCTCTCTTCTCCAGCTGCAGCCCCGAAGGCGGGATGGCCGTGTCCAGCCCCGGGGGTCCCGCCTCCGCAACACCCACTCTCCCAGTCAAGACTCCCAGGACCCTCGCGAGCCCGCGGTGGGGCCGCCCCAGGGAGGCGGGCGAAGGCGCTCCAGGGCCAGCAGCCGTGTGGGGCACAGCCCGTCCTGAAGCATTTGTGTTTTTTCAGTGAGACAGACTCGCACATGTTCTGTACCTGGCTACCTTCAATGGTGAATTTTATTATAAACAACGGTATCAAAATATACAAATCTGTGTAAGAACAACCAGGAACTGCAGCTTTTTTAAGGGCCAAATGGGCATGAACCTTTCCAAGGTGGCAGCTTCGCCTCCGCCATCCCCTGGAGAAACGGGGGTGTGAGGACCGCATTTCCAGGACGTCAGTCTGAATAATTTAAAGGGCAGGTCTGGCCTCTGGCTCTGGACGCGCATCATAAATCTTCACGCGGGGGCGGCTGTGTTGGGTCTTCTTCTGTGACTTCTGCCAGGAAACAAACACAGATCCTCAGGTAAAATCCCAGCACGAGGCGCTGAGGGTGTGGCAGCCAGGTTTCTGCGGGGATGGGGGCAGCGCACGCGGCGCAAACGTCCCGATGGGGGGGTCCCGAGCCCCCACAACTGGGGGCGTCCAGGCAGGAGGCGCGGCCACAGGGTGTTTCGGGGCTGCCCTCTGCTTTGGGTACGGAAGACCGGGATGGCGAGGCGCTCCCCCATCAGCTGGGGCCAACAGGAGCTTGGATGATGGTGAGCGGTGCGGGTGGGGAGGCCCCCCAAGACATGTTGGGGGCAGAGGTGGCGTGTGGCACTGCTCCCCGCGGACATCGGGTTCGTCCCTGTCCTTAACGCCCAGGGTTGACTACAGCACCTGGCTGTGTACCCGTGCCTCCCGGCCCGGCTCCGCGAGCTCCTGGAGTCTGCGTCTGGTCTTCCTCATTCAGGAAAACTCTGCGTCAGTGTCATTTGGACACCGCCCCTGCCCCTTCGGCTCCATGTTTTTCCACAACTTCTATGAGACTGTCACAGGAAGAGCCGTGTCCCCAGAACATGGGGCCAACCTAACCCCAGAGCTGTGAATTGGGGGCGCTTCACAGACGGTCAGGGTGAGGGGAGGTCACTGAGGTGGGTCCTTATAGGAAGAGGGAAATCGGGACACGGACACACAGGCCACGAGAAGGCCACGTGGACAGAGGCAGGCATCGGAGGGTCACAGCTGTAAGCCACGGAAAGCCGAGCCTGACCCGCCAGAAGCGGGCACAGGCAGGACGATCCTGCCCCACAGGCTTGGAGCGGTGCAAGCCCCAGGCTCTCGGGAAGCTCACGCAGGGACGGCCACCGGCCTCTACTGCCGGCGTATCTGCCGACCCTGGGGTCACCGACTCTCCTTCCCGCCCGACCTCCCACACGGACGTTTCTCCTCCTGTCTTCCCCGACCCCAGCCAGCACCCTCCTCGGGCCGCTTTTGCTGTGAGCTTCTGAGCCAGGCGTGTGCCTGCCGCACACCGCCACACCACTCACCGCCGCCCGGGGTCTGCGTCCGCACACACGCGTCTTCCGTGTCTTCGAAGCCCTCAGGACACACGCACACGTAGCTCCCGGGAGTGTTGTAACAGTTCTCGTCCTGGCGCATGCACACCTTCTCTGCACCCGCACACTCATCTATGTCTGCAATAGAGACGCTCGCTGGGACCGGCCACTTCGTCCGCAAACACGTCACCATCACGGGATGCACACACTCACGATTCGCTCCCGCACCGGAAAGCGACATCGGACAGGGCAGGTCTCAGGGGAGGGGCCGCGGATGGGTAGAGGAGCCGAGAAGGGACAGCGCAGGCATGTGAAGGTGGGGAGTCCTGCGCGAGCTCACGCCGTGGGGCCATCGGTGCATTCGCTGCCTTTTCCAAGTGGGTTCCAGCCGGGCCCCGACCATGAGGGCCTGACGTGCAGCCACGGGGGCCATGGGGCTGGGAAGTGGGGGGGCTGGGCACGGGAGGCTGGAGCAGAGCCCCCGGCCGCAGGATCGCCAGCACCACGCACACCTGACACCTGGGGGCCGGCCGGGACAGACCCTCAGTCCCCCACCTGCTGCTTCTGCATCTCACGCTTGAGAGGCTGGGGAAAACAGAGTCGCAGAAAGGGCTGGAGCCAGTGCCCCACCCCCACTAGCTCTTCATGGGACTGTCCACATCGTGGCCCCTTTGCCACGTTCCATCTTAGTCCAGCCCAGACGCAAGGGCACTGACCTGCACACTGGCCGCCTTCTTTGGTGTAGCCAGGGATGCACTCTTTACAGTGTCCCGGACCCTTCCCTGTGCAGCCCACACAGGTCGAATCACATTCTAGAACAAGAGCAGACAGACATCGACGTCAGACAGCCTCCTGTGAGCAAAATGGGACCAGAAGCCACGCCACATGATCTGGGCATCCCCCTCATCAACGTGCGGGTGCCACAGGGAGTGTGTCCTCGACACCCCAGCCCCGTCTCCCAGCAAAGCAGCGACATGCACCCCCAGAGCCATGACCGCACACAGACGGTCCCCCTTCCGCAGACCGTCTTCTTGGAGCAAAACAAAACCACCTCCAGCTTGGGGCACTGCTTGACCGGACACTGCTTGACCGGCCGGCTAGGAGCTCGGTAGGAAGAGCAGAGGAGAAACATGAGATGCTCCCCGGGTGAGGTCTCACTACTGTCAGGGCCGTTGCCCTGGGGGGGCCGCAGACGCAGCGGGGGGTGGGGGGGCGCCAGGCAGCCTCACGCACTGCTGAGAGCACGTCAGTGCAACCTTCTGGGGACGCCAGGGCCCTACAATCTACTCTCCCAAGCAGTTTGGAAACAAATCCCGAGTAAACAAGGAAGAATACGCAAAGCTCTATCTACCAAGGTATTCCAAGTTCACAACTGTGGGAGAATTTACAATTTAAATATCCCACAACAGACTGTTGAAGAAAACTATGGAATAGGGGCAGGCTCCAGCATCACGAACATGCATGTTCACGCCGTGGACAGCGTAACATGGTGTAAACAGTCATGGCCCCGTGGAATGAGGCCGAGCGCGGTAAAACTATTAACAGAGCTCCCCACTCCACAGAATTGGTGGTTTTAAAAATTATCGTCTTTTCAACTTATCTGAATTTTCCAGTTTTTCTGCAGCAAATATCTATTACGTGGGTTGCCACCTTCCACTTTTTACAGCAGGCAGAACCCACAGAAGTCACGTGGGTGAACCGCGGACAACAGCTCGCAAAGGAGGACCTGGAGCCCAAGGCCCGGGGAGGTGCCTGCCCGCCCGCCTGCCCACAGGAGCCGGGGCCCAGGCACCTTCGCACATGAACGAGCCGTTGACATTCTCACAGTACTGCTGGTCGCTGCAGGGAGGCGTCTCTGCCGCACACTCGTCCACATCTGGAACACAGCAGCTGTGAGGGACAGGCCCCCCGGACCCCCGTGGACATGACACGGTTGGTGGCCGGACACAACCCACGGCCACGGCCGGCCTGGAGAGGAAGGTGGCCACTGTGTGGAGGACGCGTGTCCATGTTTCTCCCGGAGGCCTTCCACGTGCAGGGGTGACAAGGAGCATTTAGTGTCCCCGGGAGAGGGGCCACTGTGAGGAACCAACAGCTAACGTGAGCGTCCTGTGCTTCCGTGTGGACACGCAGAAGCTCCAGGTCAGTGTTGGGACCACCACCCTCCCCACTCGAGACGAGCCCCTAGGGTCAGGTCTGCCGCCCGCAGCCTGGCCTCTGCCTGCTGTTCCTCCTGCTGCCTGCCGGCACCCGGGCCTGAGGAGGAGCCCCTTGGCCCCACTGCCCCCCACTGCCAGGCCCTCCCCGGGGCTCCTGTGGCACTGGGTTGGAAGCCAGGGCTCACAGGCAGGATGGAGCTCAAAGGAAAGGGTGCAGCAGAAGCACACGGTGGCCACCAGGCTGGGTGCGTGGGGACAGGTGGGGACAGGGCCTGGACTCTGCAGCTTTGTGTGTGTCAGGAAGGCCTGCCTCCTCTCTGTGGCTGAGCAGCTGGACCAGGCCAGAGGGAGGTCTGTGCCTTAGTTTCCCTGCCTGTACCTGGAGAAGGGAGGGGGTTGGAGGAAAGGAAGAGAGGAAGGAGAGGAGAGAAGGGGGAAGGGGAGGGGGGAGGAGGAGAGAGGAGGAAGGAGGAAGGGGGGGGAGGGGGGAAGCGGAGAGGAGGGGCGGGGAGCCTGCCCAGCCTCACCCACGCAGGCGCCGTCTTCCTGCAGCCAGCCCACTGCGCACTGGCCGCAGTCTCTGCTGGTGGGGCCTGTGCACGTCTTACACGACTCATCACAAGCTGGAAAGCAGAGGTGGGGCGCCTGTCAACATGCGTGAATCCCATTCTCAGTAACAAACAGGACACAAAGGTCATCTCAGAAATTAGGAATTTAACTTCACTAGGACGAAAACAAAAACCGAATACAAATAAGATAAAAAACCCAGTAAAGCAAGGCTCATTCAACAATATAAAAATCCACTCTCGTGTTTCATAATATTCCTGAACTTAATGAGAAAAACGCCACATGGGCTTTCAGGGCCCCTTCACGGTCACGTTCTTAGCAGACAGGGCCCCAGGGAAAGGGCTTATGACCCGAGGAAGGCAGCTGCCCAAACCCCGGAGCCCACGCCCTCCAGGCGGCCCCCAGCCCCGGTGTGCCCCGCACGGCACCCGTGTCCCAGGCCAGGCAAGGGCATGGCGCCAGAACCAGAGAGGCCACGGACTTCTGGTGCTCCAACACGTCCTGCACAGGACATCCAAGGGAGCCGCAGACCAACGACGGGCCCTAATGCAGGAATTCAGCTCAATTGCTGACGCCAAGACGTCTCCCAACGTTGGTGAGAGATCGATGAGAAAATGTATGCAGAAGGGAGAGTGCTCGCCTTCCTCCGCGGTGGTCTGCGCAAGCCACCATCGGGCCGCGGGCCCACGCCCCACGGACGGAAGGCACGGCCGGCGTCCACCTGGCGCTCAGTGTGGTCACTACTGACGTGAACGACCCCACGGGCCTGTCGGAGGCCCGACCGAGGGGGAGCCCAGAACAATGGCCGGGCACCTGTGAGGACCCGGTTGGGAAGGACCCGCCTGACCCAGTGCCAGGGTAAGGGAGGCAGCGCACCGTCTGATGGGGCCGGGAGGCCGGGAGGCCACGCCCTGGGGCCTCAGGCGTGCTGGTTCTCGTTTGTGCCACCACTCTGCCGTCTGGTGCAGGGACGTGGGCCTCTGCGGCCTGCACCGCGCAGGTGGGTCATCCTGCCCAGGTAGCCGCAGGGCGAGAGCAGGCCCCTGCGAGGACACGGCGGGTGCCAGGTCACCCAGAACCAAGGCTAGCGTGGATGGGACACGACCGCCAACTCCACACCGTCCACCCGCTTGGTCCTTGTCCGGAGGACGTGGGGAAAGGTGGACCCATTCTTCCCTCTTGGGCTTGTTCAGGGACAGACAGCAAGACCGTCCGGGGCCTGCACGCACTCCTGGGGCCCTTCGCGGGGTTCACAAGGGCCTCCTAGCTCCGGGGGTGTGGGGAGAGCCAACAGGCGCCCATCTGTGCCGGCAGCTCCTGCGTGTCCCAGCGCAGCTGACGTACCTGTGCACACGCTGTGCGTCTCGTTCCTCAGTGAGCTGAAGTAGCCGTCCACGCAGTCGGTGCACGTGGCCCCCTGGTAGCCGAGGTGGCACTGGCAGGACCCATCCCCCTGCCTGCTGCCGTCCCCGCTGCAGTGCCCGTTCCCGCTGCAGGGCCTCTCGGACCCGCCCTGGCACGCTGTGGGCGACACAAACCCGCCACTCAGACGCTCTCTCAAGGAGCGCGGCACGTTGCTCACCTGACCTCTTCACAACCCAAACAGCGTTTGGATCTCTCCGTAAAATCCATACTTCCTCTCTCAAACGAGCCCCTCTTGGGAACACACGAACCCGCAAGCGTGGCAAGGCTGTCTGGAGGACGCCCTGGGGTCTGCAGGCACTGGGGCTCACCTGCTCGAGAGCGAGGGGGGGCCTCGGGCAGCCTCCCTGAAGCACGGGGACAATGGGGACGCTGACACGTGGCGTGGGTGCAGCTGCCTGGGACACGGGGACAGCCTGCTGCAGCCACATGCTGGCAGGACAGGAGGCGGCGGCCGCAGCCAGGGAGAGGGTCCCAACTTGCAACGCGCGCCGCTCTGTCCCGCTGAGCGCCCGGAGTGACTGGCAATGCCACACACGGACTGTGCCTTTGGTTCAACGCATGCCTCTTCACTGTGGCTTCCCCAGTGAAGGCTGACGCGACACATCCCACCCGACAGACGCCTGCTGCCCCCTTGCCTCCCATAGACAGGTCTTTGCTGCTCTGTGGGCAGAACTGGGCAGAGGCCATGAAAGCCACAGAACTGCCTCCTTGCACTCAGAGGGTGGCACCCGCGCAGGTGGGTTAAGACCGACCCACAGGGGCCCCACCGAAGGCCTGCAGACCCCTGAATTAGGAGCCTTCTTAGGATCAGGTACTCAGGGCTGTCCGGCCCCCTGGAGGCCCTACGGTGTGGAGGGGGCAGTGACCTGGCGCCCTAGGGCTCGGTGGAGGCAAGGCCCCGGGCCCTGTGGGAGCTGATGGCCCCAGATCCCAACCATGCCTCTGCCCACCTGGGAATCACGACACGGATACTGGGAATGATGCAGGACACTCAAGATCTCCCCAACAACGTACCGAGGCAGTCTGGCCCATACGTTCCCGGTGAACAGCAAACTTTCAGCGTTTTCACACAAAACCATTCAAATAAGTCGGGATACTCCTTCTTCCTGAGGAATTAAAAACATGTTCATTAAAGCTCACGTAACAGATTTCTTCAAAACAAAAACACAGTTTATTACAGTATATGCTCCAGAACATCACGTCAGGGAAACGACAGTCTAGGTGTGAACAGGCTTCTCCTGTTACCAGCTCACTAGCGTTATCACATTCAGGTAATAAAAGGTGGTAACACATGTGCAAGAAGGAGAACAAGCAGGTGCAAACTCTTCTAAGTCTGAAATCCTTTCAAATTTATAAACTAAAAAATAAGAAGTCACGGATGCTATAGCTTCACTCAACACCCAGGGGAGAGCAGTGGGGCTGGAGCTGGGGGGCCAGGCTGCAGCATGGCGGTGTGTAGTGGGGGGCAGGGGTGTATGTGGGGGGTATGGGGGTGAGGGGCTGGGGGCACTGGGGGGGCACGCAGGGGCATGGGTGGGCCTGGGGGGATGCGGATGGGGGTACGGGGCACGAGGCCGGGAGGGGACAACACGGTGGGGGGATGGGGGTGCAGGGCTGGGGAAGTGGGGGTGACAGGGTAGGGGGACACAGGGGTGTGGGGTGCAGGGCCCCGGGGCACAGGGTGGGGGGGCGCGGAGGCACTCACAGCTGCAGCCACCAGGCCTCCAGGTGCTCCTCGTGCTCCTCCAGCAGACTGTGGCACTCGAAGTCGCTGCTCCCGCACAGGCTCTCGGTGATCTCCAGAAGGCGGACCTCACTGAAACACAAGCCCGTCAGCACTGAGGAGGCAAGCCCAGGTGGTCAGCGTCTGTCCCACAGGGACATCCTGAGACCCCACTTGGTGCTCGGTGGGAACGATGGTGGCACTTTGGTGGGAACACATCGGCTGGGGACGAGCGCAGTCGGTACCACAGGGAGAATGAAACTCAGAGGGCGGTGGTCAGGGTGGCAGGAAGACCCTGACGTGGGGTGCGACGGGCAGAGGGCTAACCCGACCTGCGGGGAAGCCAGCAACCCTTTACGTGGCGGGACTCAGTTCCCCCGTGCACCATTAAAAGACCACCCTGTCTGCCATGTGGAGAGCGGATGTGGGGACAAGTGTGGAAGCAAAAGGCCATTTAGGGGCCAGAGTACAGGTGACTGCACCGAAGGGACCCTCTGTGAGTCCGTCGTCAGTGTGGGTGACGGCATTCACGGGGACACGTCAAGTGCCGAAGCTGGGCTGTCAGAGCAGGGGTGTGGCACCCACCTGAATTCATACTTGGACAGCGACTTTTCCTCCCAAGCCGTGTTCCCGCCGCCAAAGTTCTTCTTCGCAGTGTCCACCATTCCCTGTGGGGAGAGAGGGCGGGCACAGGGCTCAGCGCTGCTGCCCCCACCCACATCCCTCGTGGAAGCAACCATAGTCCACCCTGGGGATGACTTGAGTCCACTGTGGGGACGAAGCCATTCATTGCCGGTGACCCTGGGTCCATCACCACGGTGACCTGGGGTCCATCCCTGGAGTGAGTCCAGTCCATTATGGGACGACCCTGGGTTCGTGACCCCAGTCCATGATGGGCTGACCCCAGTCCATCGCGGAGCGACCCTAGTCCATTCTGGGGAGAACCCTGGGTTCATGACCCCAACCTATGCGGAATTTATCCTGGGTTCATGACCCCAGCCCACTGCAGGCAACCCTGGGTTCATGACCCCGGTCCATCGCGGGGCGACCCTGGGTCCGTGACCCTGGCCCATTGCGGGCGACCCTGGGTTCATGACCCCGGCCCATGGCGGGGTGACCCTAGTCCATGGCGGGGCGGCCTCCACGCCGCGCCCCCCAGGCCGGCCCCCGCGCCCCGGCTCCGTGTCCCCCGTGGGGCGACCGGCCCACCTGGTTGAACTTGTGCACCAGCTCCCGGCAGCGCTTGCAGGGCGTCGCCTTCTTGGCGGCCTCACCAGGCGGCGGCGGCGGCGGCAGCAGCAGCAGCAGCAGCAGCAGCCCCATCGCGGACGGGGCCGGCGGGCGCATGGCGGGCCGAGGCGGACAGCGTTGCGCAGGACGCAGCCGCGCGGGCAGAGCCCAGGTGCAGTGGGAACCGGCGGAGCGCTCGGCCTCTGCGGCCGCCCACCGCTCCGCGGTGCCGGCCGTTCCCGGGGCTACTTGACGGCGCCGGGCTGGATCCCGCCCACCGCCAGCCCTCGCGCCGCTATTGGTCCGTGGGATCCAACCCGTGCCCATGTGGCCCAATCCGGGCTCGCCACGAGAGGCGACCAATAGGAAGGCCCCGGGTCAGCGCCCAGCCGGGAGGGGTGGGGACGGGGGCGTGGAGATCGGAGCCGGCTCCCCGCGCGCGCCGCTCGCGGCGGCCATCTTTACTCCGGGCAGGGAGGGCGCCCCGCCGCGACGGTAACTAAGGCTTGGGGGGCCATGTTAGGTTTGGGCACGGGCCTCTCGTCGGATCTCGGCTTCCGTCACTCCGCTTCCGGCCGCGAGCAGTCGTAGGGGCCGTGCTTCGAGGGACGACGCCGCGGGCTGGCAAGGTCAGCGCGCCCTACCGCGGCGGGGGCTCTCGGGGCTGGCGGCGGGCGAGGGCGCGACCCGGGCTGGCGGGTAGGGCGACGGGGACCCCGATCGGGCGGAGCGTCGCCGCCGGCCCGAGGCGGCTGGCGCGGGAACCGGGGTTTGAATGAGGAGAGCCACGACGAGCGTGGGCCGTGGTCGTGTCTGGTCTCGAGCTGACGCTCGTCTCCAGCCTGGGGGTCGTCCATTTTCAGTAGAGCCCTTCGCCCCCCGAGCTGGCGGGACAGGAGGGCCCTCGCAGGTCTCCTCCTCTGCCGAGAGCCGGCCCGTGTGCACCTGCGGCGCCCGGGTGCAGCTGTCGAGCGGCCCTCTCCGTCTCCAGGCCCGCGCGGCTCCGCACCTGCTTTCTGCGCCTGCTTCCCACCTGCCTTCCGGGCGCTGGGCCAGCGCTCCGGTCGGCCTCGGCGCTGCTGGTGCCGTCCACGTAGGCGGCGCGCCTGTGGCTTCCGCCCTCGGTCTCCTGCGGGACAGAGGCAGCCCGGGTCGGGCACCGGCCGTCCGCACCCCGCAGCTTGCGAGCTGACGGTATGCATTTTCCCGCAGGGGAGCGGCCTCGGGTCGGGGGGGACAGGCCTGGTCTTAGCTGACCTGGAACAGCTGTGGGCCCGCGACACGCTCCTGCCAAGCAGCGTTCTCCTGCGGCGTTTCAACAGCTAGTGTGTAGGTGCTTCTTATTTCTTTCAGCTTTCCCTCTCTCGTAACAATAAGGGGAACTGAGAGTAGTGTACGAACGTCCCGTGGTCTTCTTGGCTTTGCTGGAAATTAAAGCATTAACGCGTTTTTAATGAAACCACAGCTGTTGTGATGACATCCACGTGTAAGTTTTGCTGCATTACCTCTTCGCGTAGTTTGTTGAGCGCCTGCTGCACACGAGGCTCTGCGGATGGAACAGCGTCAGCCACATTCCCGCGTTGGCTCCTATGACCGAGTCCCTCCTCCTTGGGGAGGGGGGCGGCAGAGAAGTCCCACCCTCAAGCAGCTTACGCTTTAGAAAGGGGGGGACAAACTGGTAACACTTCTGTCCGTCCGTGGTTTTTATATCTGGGAAGAAAGGAATTGCGTGCTGTTTTGGTAATTCTTATTATTAAAGCCCCTTTCCCCTCCTGCCCCCACCTCACCACCACCTTAAGCAGGACTCCTGCTCCTAATCCATAGATTTTCCTTCCCTTGTGGATCCCCCCGGTTGCCGTCTCTGGCGACCACAGACTTCATAAATCTTCCTCCAGTAAAAGGTAGTGAGCACGGTGGCTCTCTCCTTTTGCTTCTGGTCCTTCTGTTTTGTTTTGTTTTTTTTTTTTTATTTATTTGACAGAGAGAGACACAGCGAGAGAGGGAACACAAGCAGGGGGAGTGGGAGAGGGAGAAGCAGGCTTCCTGCCGAGCAGGGAGCCCGATGCGGGGCTTGATCCCAGGACCCTGGGATCATGACCCGAGCCGAAGGCAGATGCCCAACGACTGAGCCACCGAGGCGCCCCGGTCCTTCTGGTTTTGATCAAATTTTATTTGATCAAATAAATTCATGTTTTAAGAGAAGCCAGAAACTTGAAGAAGAGCTTGTCATCTTCCCTCCCCACAAGTTGCAAACTCTGTGTCTCCCGGGAAGCCTGGTACCATAGGCTCCTCCTGGCACTGCCCTGTTGGGATTTGGGTGATCCACCACAGGCACACCTGTCTGAACACCTCGAGGACACGCTCATGTTTTTGCCACCTACGTATTCATGTTCACAACACGAGGTGCCATGTGGCTCCCAGGGTGAAGGGCAGGACTCAGCAGGGCAGGCATCCACAGCTCCTGTCCCATTGTACTTGGATGCAGGTTCTTCGCTGGCTGCCCTGGGCCCTGTGTCCTGCCTCCTGCCCTCCTGTGGCTGCCCCTCTGTGGTCCTCCAGACGCATCCCTCCCGCCCCACAGCCTCCTGTCCCCGGTGTCTCTGCCTGGACCATGGGGGCCTACTCTCTTGCCAGATTTGAGCCTCTCAAGGGCAGGGGCCACCCTGCTGCCCTCCAGAGGCTGGGCCAGTGCCGGGCCCAGCTGCGTGGAGGACCAACTCAGTTCTACAAATAAAGCCTTTCTTCCTGGAAAGATCTGCACACAGCTCAGAGCGTGAGGTAGCTGGTTAAGACGTGAAAGGCCCTCAAGCGTGATTTTTCTTTGAACTTTCTTTTTTTGATGTGTTCAGATCTACGGATGTTACAACAGTAGTTTGTTTATTTTTAAGGATTTTATTTATTAGAGAAAGAGATAGTGAGAGAGGGAACACAAACAGGGGGAGTGGAAGAGGGAAAAGCATGCTCCCTGCTGAGCAGGGAGCCCAACATGGGGATTGATCCCAGGACCCTGGGATCATGACCTGAGTCGAAGGCAGATGCTTAATGACTGAGCCACCCAGGCGCCCCCACAACAGTAGTTTAAAGAGCTCACACATGCCCTTCACCCAGACCCCCAGGTGTTAACTCACAGGGGACTTTTGAAACCTGGGAATCTGCGTTTTCCCTTTCTCCCCAGGCTCACAGCGGCACTGTCGATGACCGCTGAAGGCCCGGGAGGCGGGAGAGCGTGATGGCTGGGAAGACGCCATCAGGCGCGGGCAGGCAGCGCCGGCTTCTGGGGCTGCTGCTGGCTGTAGCCACCATCCACCTTGTCACCTGTCCCTATGCCAAAGTGGAGGAGAGCTTCAACCTGCAGGCCATGCATGACCTGCTTTACCACCGGCTGGACGTGGACAAGGTGAGCCCCCGCGTCCAAGACCGTGCATAATCCCCAGCGCGGGCGCCCACTGACCTTCCGTTCTCCCTGCAGTATGACCATCTCGAGTTCCCCGGAGTGGTCCCCAGGACGTTCCTCGGGCCCCTGGCCGTGGCGGTGTTCTCCAGCCCTGTGGTCTATGTGCTGTTCCTGCTAGAAGCATCCAAGTTTTATTCTCAGCTAATAGGTAAGGGAGTCTTCAGATGAGGACAGAAGGAAGAACCGTGGTGTGGTCAGGGGATTTCAGGGAGCCTGGTGGAGGCTCCCTCCTTCAGGAGTGTCCCTCCGTTGGAAGCTTGGCCATCTGTGGCCACTCACTGTGGTGGTCTGGAGCACGAGGGCAGCTCAGACATTGGCCCTTTCTGGGGCATAAGCTGGGACAGCTAACTGAGCGCTTCTCACTTCTGCTCTCGGGTCCGTGAAGTGAGGGTGCCGGCCCTTCCTCCCCGGGTGGGAGATGCAGCGGGCTCTTGGCGCCTCCCACAGTGCTGCACCCCCCTGCCAAGGAGCAACCAGCCTCGCCAGCCGCTCACTGCGCGGAGCTTTCTCCTATGGGAGCAGCACGTCTGCATCCGAGACCTCCCTTCCCCCCGCCCCCGGAGGTCACCACTGATAGGGCTTTGTGCAGATCATTCTGGATCTTTTTGTGTGCCCACATGCATAACTTTCAAAACCAAATTTAGAACCTTCTGTACATATTGCCCCACAACCTCATCGTTGAGCCAACAATCATCATTTCTCCATTTTAGTACGTTTTTATCGTGTTTGTATCCAGACATTATTTAGATTTCCCCAATGAACTCGAACACACTCTGCAGCTGGCTCTCCGCCTGTATGTAGATTCCTGGAAATCCGCCACCACGGGGGGCAGCTAAACAAGCGTGCTGGTTTTGTGGGGTCCAGGGAGCCCCAGATGGAAGAGCCGGTGCCATGTCTGAGCATCGGGCTCTCAGCATGTGTGGCCCTGCAGGTGTCCCATCACCTCCATGGTCCTGAGCCGGTCACACGGACCTCTGGACACTGCCTGCCCTGCCCAGTGGCCGTGTCCCCCAGAGCCCGCCTACCCCAGGCCACATGGTCACAGCAAAGCTGTAGGGTCGAGGTGCCAGGGTCCAGGCTGTCCGTTCCCCACGCCCTGTCCGTTTCCCCATGCCCCTCTTTTGAGGTGGTTTTATTGTCACCTGGTCATTAACTCGCCATCACCAGTAACCTGTCAGGATCCCCTTTCCCTGCGCCTGGTGCTGCCAACCACACACATTGCCGTGTTTATTTAGTCAGGGCTGTCCTTGGACTCAGCGTCATCTTCGGACTCTGGACTTTACAAAAAGAAGTGAGGCGGCAGTTTGGGGCCACGGTGGCCACCATGTTCTGCTGGGTGACAGCCACGCAGTTCCACCTGATGTTCTACTGCACGCGGACGCTCCCCAACGTGCTGGCCCTGCCTGTGGGTAGGTAGTTCCTGAGCCACGCGGGTCGCTGGGCGCACCGGCCAGGTGAAGGGGTGTATATCCGGGGTGCGTCTGCCTGACGAAAGCTGCTTCCTGCTGGGCATCTCGGAAATGCCCAGTGACAGGATAGCCTGTGACGAGAAGCAGGGTCTCAGTGCTGGATGGAGGTGCACTTTCCAGCGAGAGGCCGTTTGGGAGGGCTCCCCTCGCCTGCGGACAGTGAGTGCTGGGCGGAGAGAAGCTGCCTGCGCAGC